ATCCCGAGGCCATTCATGTTGCGCACGATGTTGCGCACATTGACTCTTTCTGCAGACCCTTTCTAACACATTTGTGTATTAAAAATTTCCTAACACATTTCTCTGTGCACGACACTTTTTTGTGCACGACACTCTCGAGAAGCTTCGCTTCTCGTGTTTATTATNTTAGTTCCTCCCGGAAAACCTAATTGCACAAACCTAACCTAACCTGCTTAAGGCCGCGGTCCCATTACAATGAGACCGGGGCCTAAGCGTTAACAATTGTTTCTATCCCGAGGCCATTCATGTTGCGCACGATGTTGCGCACATTGACTTTTTCTTCAGACCCTTTCTAACACATTTGTGTATTAAAAATTTCCTAACACATTTCTCTGTGCACGACACTTTTTTGTGCACGACACTCTCGAGAAGCTTCGCTTCTCGTGTTTATTATATAGATTCCCCTTACATCACATTCGGATCTTGATAACTTTTTTCTGGAGAAATTGAAATTGAATAAATTTGGTTGTTATTTAATCTCACGAGACATTTAGTTGTGTTGATATTCGACAATAATTTGTGAACAACAACAACTAGCAAATCATTCTATTTCATTATTGATTCATCGTGTTCGGGGAGAGAGAGAAAAAATAAAGAAACTGGATCGTTTATCGTGAATCGATTGAGACTACAAGACTAAGAATGAGGTGTAGATGTTCAAATATAGATAACATGCTCTACATTCGAAAAAAGACAAATTACAATCATGAAATCGGATTCTTTTTTGGGTAAATGTGAGGAATATGTTTTGACAAAAATTCCAATGAAAAATACATTGCTTTTCTTAATGTTGGTTGGTCGATATCGATTTGAATTTTGATTTGATTTTGATTTGTTTCAATTTATTACGTGATTCCAGACAAAATATCATCAAACACAAAAGATAATAGGAAAAAAATCGAATTAAATTTAAACAAGAAAAAAATGAAATGAAAAATGATTTTCTCAAAACAAATTGGTCATTATTGTAGAAAATCAATTTAGCAAAAAATATCTTAGTTGACATTGTGCCCATAAACCCATTAAATAAGAATAAAAATACAAATGAGGATGATAAGAATTTTCCCTGAAGCAATCCAAACCACGAAATTATCCCGAAAAAGATTCGGCAAGCTTGCTTTTGGCTAATCGTAATAATAATAAATAAATAATGCAACATTGCTAATGATGAAAACAATCGACTTCTGGGGAAAAATAAAACTTTTTGGTTCAAATTTTGTTTCAAATAAAAAATATTCTCCGGAGGTTTGTGGGCATTGAACAAACCTATGGAGAGTTGTATGCAAATTTCCGAATAATTGTGCGATGGCCACAACACACATTCATCGATCAATATGGACGGCCACGAAAAAGAAAAAAACCTAATAAGTAATAAAAATGTTAATTTTCTTCATTATGATTATGGAATGGCCTTTTCCATGAAACAACATAGTCAAGTCAAGCATAACAAAAAAAAATCTAAATAACATAATGAATATTTCAAGCCTTTCCCACATCTTGATCATCATCATGCCTTACGAACAAAGGAAATGTCTCAAAAGAATTTTTGATAACCACCGTCATAGTTGTTGTCGTCAATAATGATGATGAGAAAATGATATGAAAATCAAAAACGTTTCATTCAATACATGACAAACATTGTTTTCGATTCAAAATTCTTTATCATACACCAAATGACTGTCAACGGTAATGATTCGAAAGCAAAATGAAATTCTCTAGAATTTTTTCATTTTTCGGCCAGACATTTTTGTTTGTTTGTTTGGTTGACGATCACTTGATAGTTATCATGATGATAATTATTATTATTATAAGGATGCAGCAAATGGCAATGAAAATCATCATCATTAAAAATTTTGATTATTAATGACGAAATATAAATTTTCACAAAAAATAGTTCGGTTGCCATATGGTTTGGTTTTGTTGTTCTTTGGAAATTGAATGATCTTTTTATTTGGATAGAGTTTTTTAGCATCATAAATTGCTGAAAATTATTAATATTATGATAGAGTGAGCCATTTTATGGCCAATATAATCATCGATGAGCAATCGATTGAGCATCATAAAAAATAGCAGTGTTGCTGATCATAAAAAGTAATCCTCTCATTGTTGTTGTTGAAAAAATAACTGGAAATTACGTCTGTCACAAGCACAAATCGACTTTGCAGATCATAAACGTGAATATCCGTCATAATGAATTTGCTCAAACACCAACAACATATTTATGGGGACAAAAGTGATGGCATCTGGAACAAGCAATCATTAAAATGAAAATTGTCACCAATGACGATCATGACGATTATAATAATTTCATTTTTTATTGAATTTTTCAATGAAAAATCTTCATCACGAAATAGTCTTGTGGAAAGGATGTGATTTTTGGTAGGAATAATGTATTCGAAAAAAGAGAGAAAATCTTTTTTTCCAAGAAAACACACAACAACCATTAATTAATTAAGAGTGGAAATTTATTTATAATGGCAATTGGATTTCAAGATTCTGTATGAAACATGAAAACATCATTTATTTTTATTTTTTTTGTATTTTCGCGTGGAAATTCTTTCTTTTGGAAGATTAGCGAAATTCTTTGAACGAGGGAAAATAATTTATTAATTTAAATCGGACAATGTTTACGTTTGTGTTTGTATGGTTGAAAAGCAAAACTTTGCATGTTTTTGGCTGCAAAGTTAAGCTGATATATGCTGGACCGAATGGAATAGAAACAAATGGAAAAACTTACCGATAATGAAGTGGATTAACAATGCCTTTATAGTGAACCAATGCCAATGCTAGCAAATGCAATGCCGAAGCAATCAATGCTGATAGACGAAATATTTCCAATATCAAATTGAAACATACATTGGTTAGGTTGATATTCAATACAACCGGTAAATAGGAATTTATCAATAAACCAAAGCCCATCAAAAATGAGGCAATACTATCGGTTGCAGCTAAATTCAACGATAACAATAGAATCGGCGAACGTGAACGATTTGAACGTGATAATTTGGATTGAATAATGGTGCCAATGATGACCAATAAGGTATTCAGTATCAAACTCAATAGACAACCGGCCAATAGTATTGGTACAAAAACCTTGTACAGATAGATTACCGATTCAAATGAATCGATAATTTTTGTCGGTTTAAATTGTTTCAATGTTTCATTGTTGCAGTAATCCATGGTTGATTGGATTGTATTTGCTCAACCAAAAACTTTAATTAAAAATTTTTCATTTTTCTCAAAGAATTATTGATCAAAAAACAAACAAACGAAAGGAAATGATGACGAACAGCAAAAGTTTGCGTCTTCATCCTAAATATCAAAAAACCAAACTGAACAAAAATTATTAACCCAATGGGAACATGTACCGATGGAAAAGTTGTTCTAACCGAAAAACAGAATTGAAAAATAGCAGCACGGAAAATAGTGACGAAGGAATGAATGGCCATATAATAACTGCGAATCCCTACAAAATAACATTGCATGACAATTGTTTTTCGGATAAAATAATGAACATTTTTGTCATTACATTTTTTGTTTGAACGCGCATTCCTTTAGAAAACATGTTTTTTATCGTCATCTTTTTGGTCACTTGATAATTATTTAGGCAAAAAACGAGGGAACTTTCAGCATTTATATTGAATGATTGACTGAATCATCAGACAGCCAACCGGAAACAAACAACACATTCGCACTTTCTCTCTTAACAATATGGAAATTTTTCATTAATTTTTGCAAAATTACATTTCAATGCCGATGCCTATGGGGATAAGTGTTAACCTACACCCACATTGGAAATGCTAAATGCAATAACAATTGGTTAATTTTGCATCAATTCAACGCAAACAGACTAAGCAATGAAATTCACTGTGTCATCATTTAACACTTGAAGGCATATATCTTTCTCTTTATTCACAAAAATCGGATCGATAATCGAATATTTGGTTACCATTCTGATCTTTTAATCTTGTTGGATGGTTTTGTGGAAACTTGATATTGGAAAATGAAAGATATATTGAAATGATGATTGAACAAATCATTATTTCAAATAGCTACTAATCCCATTTAATTGAATTGAATCGAACAATTCAATCAAGCCAAAATGTTTTATTCAACCAAATTCTATAACCCTGTGGCTTGCGATCATCAATGATTTCAATTTCAAATTTGTTTTTTTCCGTTTTTCCTAATTCCTGCACACAATACAAGCATCCGGTACTTGAAGATTCACCCACTCAAAATTTGTGGCTATTTTTGATGTTTTTACTCGGAAAACCATAAACAAAATTTTCAGCAGCCAATCTCAAAAGTTTTTATGCATTCATTTTTCAATTTCAAGCAAACGTTACATAATCGGTGTCATCTGGTGTGCTGAATTTGAATTGCAGCAAATTAATTTATTTATCAAAAACAAATAAAAAGTACAAACAAGCCATCTATTGGTGGTGAATTTGAATGATTGAATCATTTATCATTTAAACATCATCCTGTAAAGCCGTATTGGTGCTAATGATATCATCATCATGATGATTGTCGTCTTGGTTGTTGTTGTTATAATTATCATTTTGATGATTAGGAAGATAGAAGTTGATAAACGTGGCAATAATGATTGGCAGCAATAGAATGAAGCAGGAAAATTGAAAAACAAATCCAGGATAATAGGATATTGTTTGATTGAATATCTGGGTGAAAATTGAAACACCAAATAATGGCGATATTGTTTCCATCATTGTCAGCAGTCCAAACAAACGGTATTGCTCATCGGCGGCAATCAATCGGGATAATTGGGCGCGAATCGAAACCGATACCAAGCTGGTGAGTGATCCAAATAAATATGATAGGAAAAACACCCAAACATTAATGATGGTACCACGTAGGAAATTCTGTGCCATCAGTGATAATAATCCTATCATCATGATGGATGAATCGGACAAATGCAGGAGATTGGTAAGACCGGGGGTTACCACCATCAATCCAAACATATGCGTGGTAATATAAAGCACGGCATTATAAGTGGAATACATGCTAGCATCCCATAAGAATACTTTCTGCACAAATTGAAAAACAATGGCACCAAGCGAAACACGTATCATTGACACCATTGTCATTGCAACCAACAGAAGCCATATGAAGATGTGACGCTGATTTTGGCGACGACGACAACAAACCTGAACTGATTCGCTAATATTTTGCATGACGAAAATATCGCCAATACTTTTCCAATACTTTCGTAGACGATGTTTTCGACTTTTTCTTTTCATTTTGTCAGCTTTTTTATCAATCATCAATGGATCAGATTCGTCGTGGTTGGATATTGTTTTTGGACGTTTACGAAATTGAGTAAACAAAACATATAAGATTGAGAATGCTTTCAATGATAATGCCGTCAATACCACATAATGATAGTTATGTAATTGACCATTATGATGAGCCCATTCGCTCAACGGGAACAGATCTTGACGAATCAAAAGACCACCGATGAAAACACCAAACGGTCCGGCTACAATAACAATCAATTCCAAGATGGCAAAACGTTTGATTCGCTGTTGATCTCGGCTTATTATGGTGAGATAAGCGATTACGGTCATGGCCACTACTTGCGCACCACCCACCATAGGGACGAATACATAAGATATTAGCATAAAATACACATTCCAATTGAAATAGATGATGTTCACCAACAACGATATCGATTCCATTGTGCACATGAACGTGGCCAAACTGAGAAGAATTTTTGCCGATTTCCGATGACGATCTGCCCATGAACTGATGAATAATGATGTAAACAACAGCGGTATGGTTGCAATCAATGTTTGATACAAATTGAACATGGTCACCTGAACCAGAACTTCATCTTTGATCATTAGCAGAACGTCGCTTGAATGCTGAAAATGTTCATCGATAGTGGAGAGATGTGAACAAATTCGGGTCGAATTCAACCTGTTCATGCAGAATTTATCCTGTGCAGCCAATTGTATGGTAACATCTTCAATAGTACTGGCAAATGTAAAAATGAAAACAAATGTTTCCAATTGAAATGTACGAATATTTCCAGCCATTCATTCATTCAATGATCGACATTATTGATGATGAGAAAAAGAAAAGAAAATGATCACTCTATGGGTCTATGGTTTACGTAATTATCAAACAAATAGACATTGAGGATGATAATCACCAAATAAATGAAGGATATGATATCATTTTGATATGATATAATGTTCTTTTCAGTACAAAAGGCCTCATTTATTTATAGCAAATCTTATTTCAATGTCTTTCCATTATGGGTGATTGATTGATTGATTGTCAAGTATCCATACGAGAGGATATTGTTGCCAGTCGCTATTGGATTCTCTCAAAAATCGACCAACAGGTGGGGTTGATTCAATCAAACAAACACGAGTAGCAAATTGCCTAATGATTATGAATGAGTTATTTACGTGTGTTTTCCGAATTGCTTATTATTTGGCCAAACGATAAAGCATGATTATAGAAAATGAAAACAACAACAAAGACATTTTACATAAAGAAAGATGGATTGCTTTTATATATAGACTGATCAGACATACACACTGCGGAAGTGATGATCGGATTGAAGAAAATCGATTTGATTTGAGACGATGATGATGATGATGATTGTCTATATAAATTATACATGTCTTTTCTACATGTTATTATTGTCATCATCATTATCATCATTATGATCATGTCCATATGTGAATGAGTGAGTGTGATATATTCAATCCAGAAAAAGAAAGGGAAACAATGTTTGGTTGGTCAATGAATTATGATTGATTCGGATTCATGTTACTTTCTAATGATCGGACAGTGTGTGTGGTGGTCGGAAAAACTTTCACTTGTGAATCGATTTTTTCGAATTTTCGGCAAACTGGAAAATAATCAAACTTTGACGGTGATGGTGGATTGTTTAGTTGTGCTGTGCTGATCTTGTTGTCGGTGGATTAAATTATGGTTTATTTACTTTTGGAAATCTGTTTTGTGTTAGTGTGAATTGTGGATTATATTTATAGATAATGATGATGATGATGATGATTGTTGATTGAATTGATTTTATTTATATCGTGGTCTGTGTGTGAATGATGGTGATTGTCTCAAAATTGAATAGAGTGTATTGTGAAAATGGATTGCATTTCTAAAAATGGTTCAAACCATAATGATGATTTATATTGGATTGAAAAGTGTCATATTTTTGTTTGATTAATGATAATGATAAAACCTTGATTTTTCCATTCATTTCAAACACAATTAACAGTAATGATGAATGATGAATGATATTGCCACTTGAAACTGGCAAACTTTTTTTCAAAAAGAAACATTTTTCTCGATTGAAGATTATTAATGAAGCTTTCTACAACGTGTTTTGCTGTGTTTGTTTGTGTGTTTGATTGTTGTTTGATATCGATCGTCGACCGACCATATTGATCGCGGTCAATCAATCAATCAATCATGGATCGATTGATCGTGCAACATTGTCTAATTGGTCGGGCGGGCGTGTTCCAGGAAAAGCCGAATGACTTGCTTGACTCGTGTCATGTGATGTATGTTGCGGTGGACATAATCTATAAATAACAAGTTCGTATTTGCCTAACTAACAGCAAAACTAATCTGATTTTGTCAGTTTGTTTGTTTGATTATCACCGAATTTGAACAAACAATTGTGCTGATCAGGTGAATGACAATTTTTTGCAAATTAGTTTTAGTTTAGTTTTTGTTCATGTTGGTTGTTGAACGAAGAAAACAAAAAGACAATCGGATTTGTTTTTGATGTTTGAAGGGAGAGATCAGTTGATCATCACAATAATCTTGACATGATAAAGGCAAAATGATGATGTTTTTTGTTTGCTTGGCTATAATCACCATCCTTTCTTTCTTGCCTAATTTGAATAATGTTTGAATGGGATTTTTGAATTTTTTAGTTTTGTTTCATGATTTTCATAATTTTTCTTGAACAAAAAACCGAAAAAAGCAGATCCTCAAATAAATAAACCTAGGGAGGATATGATTTTGCTTTGTTTTTTTTCGAAGAAAAATGAAAATGAAAATAACCAAAATGTCGATCATGATGATTTAGGTTGATTGTTCATTTGGCATTGCCTTTTCATAAAATTTCAATCATGTTTTTCAAACATTACTGCTTCCTGTTCCTCATCTCGGTTTTCAATGGATGATTCTGTTGTTAGTTGTGTGTCATCATCATCATTAAAGTGTTTTTCGATCGAATTGAATGAACTACACTGGAATCATCATCATCACTCAGTGAATATGATGATGATGATCATCAATCATTATCATTGTAAGTGATAATGATTCATATTTTTTCAAATCAAATTTTTCAACAACAAAAAAATCATCGAACCGCTAATCCGCGCAACAATTCTTCCGCCCGTTTTTTGTCATTTTGTTTCTGCTTAAACTTGGATCTAGTATGGTGTGGTCTTGACGCCATCCACAAACGGAGAAACATACACACCAACCAAAGACAAGCCATTTTGTGCATTGGAAAGAGAACGACCAGGAGAGAGAAAGATTTCCTTTGTTTCGGTGTGATTTGCCTCATCTATCTCTCTTTCTCTCTCGTTGAACAACAGCTATAAAAGAGGCAAACTGGAAGCTGAAAAGTTTTCACAAACTGTATGATTCAATTTTCCTGTGCACGACATTCTTTTAGATTTTTTTCGGTGATTAATTGAGTGAAAATGAATTACCTGTCCAGGATTGTTGTTGCGATCATCGCAATGACGTTGATGTTAATGATGCGTAATGGCCAATGTAGCGGTAACGTAGGAAGATCTCATGTACAACGACCATTTTCCGCAGCTGGCGCCGCTAGTAATATCGGTCCAATATCACCGTTAGTATTTCAGAAATATAATCTAACACCGGCATCATCGATTGTGGGCACAAGTGTTGCACCAACCGAACAATTATTCAATTATGTACCGGCACCAATTGCAATAGCCGCATCCAATCCTCACCATCATCATCATCATCATTCATCAAAATCCTCATTGTTAACACCGGATTCATCATCCGCATTGCCAATAATGACTGCATTGAAAAGTCTTTCCCACCAAGCACGAACAGTGGCATCATCACCTGCTGCTTTGATGGCTGCTGCACAGGCAGCAGTACCCATTTCGTTGAATGCAGCATTGTCCGGTGCCTCATCCAACATTCCTGTCACATACAAGTAAGTATTGACAAGTGAGCAGCATTGATTGATTGATTTGATTTTTTCTATCGAGTCAGATTCGATTTACCAGATTCATTTAGCGGTGCATTGGAACCAAACAATTTGCTGGCCGGCGCTACTCGGCTGTTTGAAGGACAAATCGTTGGGCCAACATCGCTGGCAATTCATAAAGATTTCATTTATGCTGGAACGGCCGGTGGTGCTGTTTGGCGTGGTAATCTTCGTACCGGCAATGCTACACGTATAGCCAAAATAAATAATGAAATGTGTGAAAAAAAATCATGGGACTCATCATTATGCGGACGACCATTGGGTGTTCGTGTTGACAGTAATGGTGTGCTGTATTTCGTTGATGCATATCTTGGTTTGCATTCCATACATTTCGATTCGGATGACCGTGTCCAATTGACACCATTATTATCGGTGGAGCAGATCGGTGGTAAATATATGGGACATTTAGTATTGGATGAAGGTGCAGGAAGTAATGGTGGTCATATGGTCTATGTAACCATTGCATCGGCCAAACGAGATCTTACTCAATGGACAGCCATGGTTATTGAACCGGATACCACCGGATTTGTTGCCCAATATGATACCGGTAGCGGCCAGTATTCAATAATATGGGATAAATTATGGTACCCTACTTCCATCGAAATTACCGATGACCGGACGGCTTTATTGGTTGCTGAATTCAGTTCCCGAAAAGTACTCAAATATTACATTAAAGGTAGGTTTGGGCTGTTTTCAGTTTCAATGGTGATTTCCGTAGCAATTACCATGATGATTATGATGATGGGATTTTTGTTTGGCCAACATTTGATTCACATAGGGGCATTATATGATATGGATGCATTTCTCATCATCATAGTTCAGTAGTGGAATTGGTTCACTTTCCATTTGTTTGTTGTGTTTGGGTGATGCTTGTTGTTTGTTGTTTGACCATTTCACAAAGGAGAGAGAGAAGACAATCAAAATATCATCTTTTTGTTATTCATTCATTCAGGCGGATGATAATAATGGATGATTATCTCTTCTATGGTCATTAGCCGAAATCCTTTTCGGTTCTAATAATAGCCTCTTCTTTGTTTTGTCAGTTGTCATCATGATTGTCCCCTCTTCTCACCAAGATAATCGAATATTTTACATTTTTTCGATTGCAGGTTAGTCCAATGAAGTGATTCATCACAATTTTTGTTAAGAATGCAATCTTTTCGCCAAAAAAAATCTTCCGGGATTTGTTTCAAATCAAAATCATTTTTTGTTTCTTTTATTTCAAAACACAGTGAGATTTTTGCTCTGAACAGACACCATATCATTAACATTGGGAATTGTCATTTCGATTTGATTTGGGAGAAAAAAGTTGATTGTGTTTGATGTTTTGTGATATAAATTGAATTTAGATTTAGATTTTTGATTGTTCTCTGGTTTGATTATCAATGATGGTGATGATATTTTGAATGACAATTGAATTTTTTTTTAATTTTGTTGTTGAGTGACATTCAGTCAATCGTGAAGCAAACAATTGAAGCGCAAACCACTTTCAAAGCCAAAAAAAGAATTTAATTTAACAAAATCTTTTTTCCATTACCACTTTGTCATTCATGAAAACAAAGGTCCGAAAAAAGGAACATCCGAAATTTGGGTGGAAAACCTTCCCGGTGAATCGGATCATCTGATACGATCGGCCGACAAAACAAAAGAAACCTATTGGATGCCAATCGTCAATGCACGCAATCAATCCAAACCAAATCTATTGGATTTCATGTCGGATAAACCATATCTACGAAAGGAATTGCTTGATATTTATGCCAAAATGGGCAACCGTATCGAACAACTTGGTCAGGAATATCAAAACGAACAATTAGAACGATTGGGTTTCCAAATGAAAACCAGTCTCCAGTTTTATCAACAGAACGTAGGCAACAATTATGGTCTGATATTGGAATTGGATGCCAATGGCAATATATTGGGTTCCTTACATTCGGTGGCCGGCGTCAATTCGTTCATATCGGAAGCCTTGGAAGGAGAATCCGATTCACCAAACGAGCGTGTCCTATACATCGGTTCATTCGGCTATCCCTACATACTGAAACTGGTCATACGCAAACCGGCCATCGATATTGCCTCTCGATTAGCGGTGGTGGCAGCTGCTGCACAACAGACACCGACCATCGTTTCGTTGAACGATCCGGCCGCATTACGAATGATTCAGCGCAGCGGATATTCAGCCGCCATTTCGAATGACACCGCAACCAATATCGGCATGATTTCCCCGCTGTTACTTCATCAATCATTGAACAGTACGACTGCTGCTAATCAATGGTCATCAGTTCGTCATCGTTATTGAGAATTCGTTTTTTTTTTTGAAATTTGATTTTAATTTGATATAAAAATGCCAACCCAAACAAAATGTACTTGTAAAATTATTGCACACTGAGAAATAAATGCTAATTAAACATAACAAAACAATTATCAAATTCGATTTGCATTCAATTATAATTAATCAATTGATCCATGTTTAAAAGGAAGTAGCCAGTGTTGAACACAGTGTTAAGAACCATGAGTAAAATAGCCGTTGTCAAATTGGATGCGGGTATATTTCCTAAAAAAAATTTAGCTGTAGTATTACACGGTAAAAATGATTTACGCTTGGAAGAATGGCCATTACCAGAAAAACTTAATCCATACGGTAAGAGATCTATCAATACTATCCAATACTAATCATTCATTCGTCCATCATTTCGAATCAAACAGAAGTGTTATTGAAGTCGCATAGTACCGGGATTTGTGGAACGGATCTTCATCTATGGCGTTCGGCACAGGTGGCCAGCTTTCAATTGAGTCGTCCGTTCTGCTTGGGTCATGAACCATCAGCAGTGGTAATGGAATGTGGACCACAAGTAACTAATTTGAAACCAGGCGATCGGGTGGCTGTTGAACCGGCCATTCCATGTTTGAAATGTGAATTTTGTCGCAGTGGTCGATATAATCTTTGTCCAATATCCAACAGACAATCACATGGTCTACCCAATTCGGACGGATCATTGCGTCGATATTATACCCATCGGGCAGATTTCTGTTTCAAGTAAGTCAGCAAACAAACTATGTTCTCTTAGAGATGGTTTTCTTTTTTGGTTCGACTAGATTGCCGGATTGTATTTCGTTGGAAGAAGGTTCATTGGTGGAAGCTTTGGCTGTTGTCATACATGCATGTCGTCGGGTACAGGTACAGGTTGGCGATTCCGTTTTGGTTTGTGGAGCCGGACCGGTAGGTGTAATGGCAATGTTGGCCGCAAAGGCATTTGGCTGTCATAAGGTTTGCATTACCGATGTGAAGCCATCACGATTAGAGATGGCTAAGAAAATGGGTGCCGATCATGTTTATTGTGTTGATACAACCAAAGCAATGACCGATAAACAATTGGCCAGCGAAATCATCGAACTGATAGGCCAACCAGTCGATATTTGTATCGAATGTTCCGGTTTTGAATCCTCACAATCGATGGCCATTTATGCTACACGTCCAGGAGGACGCATTGCTATTGTTGGTCTGGGCGCACCAGCCAATCGTGTGCCATTGTCCACGGCAACAATGAAGGAAATCGATTTGATTGGAATCTGTCGCATCAAAGATGAGTATGTGATGAGAATGACGGTGGTGAAGGTAGAATCAAACTGATTATGATTTATCATTACACAGTTACCCATTGGCCATACGGTTGATTGAGACTGGTCGAATCAATGTGAAGCCATTGATAACTCATCGATTTCAAATCGATAAAGCATTGGATGCATTCAAATTACTTCAATCGGGCACCGAATCGGTTATGAAAGTATTGATTCAATATGAAGATTAATTTTATTATCAAATTAGAAAAATATTCATACAAATAAAACTATCATTTTCCATTCATTTTGTGTTATTACTGTTATTTGTTGATGTTGAACAGAATTGTCGCTATGAATAGAAAGATTACTGTCCACGAGGCGGAAATGATGAAACCAACGGCCACATCCCAATGATTGAATGGATCCCAGCCCCGGTATAGCATAAAACGAACAGCATCCATTGCTTTTGCTTGCGAAACGATCGTACTTACATAGATCAAAAACTGAGGCATCGTATCCACTGGCCATACCACACCTAATTAAAGGGGAATCAAATCATTATTTGAAACCAACTTTTGGAAGTATTGCATGCGGAAACACCCACCACTCAATAGGAATTGAGGGAACATTGAACCCATACAAGCAGCTAATGTGAAATTCTCTTCTTTGGCAATGGCCGATATCATAATACCGTATGCCATACCGGCTACACCTTGCATAACGATCAGAACAGATATCCAAAATACTGGACCACGATTGGGAATGTGAAATATGAAGAATGCCATCAAAAGGACGAGAATTATCTGGAAAATGACTACCACAGTTTGGGTGATAACATGCGAGAGAATGTATTCATTGGGGTATACACCCGACACTAGTGATCGCTGTAGAAGGCCATCTTTGCGTTCCAAAACTAATGTTAATGCAGCCGTAGCTATCGAAGCGAAAAATGATAAAGACATTATGAATGCAGGTGCCATAAATTCGGTGACTGTGGGATTTTCATTGCCCATCAACGGTGCTGGAATCTAAAAGGAAAAAGTGGATTATAATGATTTCCTTCTCCAGCCAACCATTCTTACCCGAATGGGTGAATCAGCCACATCCGGATTGTAGCCATTTTCGGCCAATAAATGTCGAGAAAATTTATGGAAAGCTTCGTAAATTTTTTCCTTGATTTTCATGGCATGAAATTGGGCTATTGGAAGAAACTCGTATCGAGAAGGAAAGAATTAGCAAAAAGAATATCGGCCCATCAATCAAATACTGCTTACAAGACATATCCAGGTAAAGGTCGACGAACGATTCGGCCAACGTTTCATTGTCCATCGACATGTAATCGATTGCTTTCTCGAAACTGGCCCGAGTGAAGTTTGGTCCGAATCGCAGAAAAGCTTTTGCCTGACCCGAACGAACCGATTGGAAACCTTGGTCGATTGAAGCCACTTCGGTAAGATGAATGCTGTGATTGTCGATTTGTTGAAGCATCTCCAAACTATAAAGGCTACTCGAACGATTCACGGATGGATGCATTTCACCGTTGTAAAATGTAACCGGAATATCGAATGGATCACGACCCAAACAAAGAAAGAATAAGGTACATTGAAGGACGGGAATCAACGAAGCAAACAACATGACCGGGAGATTACGCCACATTCGGATGAAATTCTTGGTCAGCAGTGCTGAACTTCGAGCAAAATGATCGAGAATTTTATTGCGTTTCATCAATAAACGTTGAGCAACTGGTGGTGGTGCTGATGGTGTGGGCATCATATTGGTGGAATTGCTCAATGTCATCGTAGTGGTGGTGGTTGCTTGTTGTTGTTCAACTAAATCATCATCCAATTCTTCGGTTCCGGTTTTCGATTCATCATCGTCGAATTGCTGAAATGACAGAATGAATGGATGAATGGGCAAAAATCAAAAAAATGTTACGTACTTTGTGATTGTGGTTATTGTTGGCCATAAGTAATAATGGTTTTTCGGAATTGCTGCAGCAATTAGCGGCCGCACCAGCATATTGTTTGCGTTCGAAAGATGATGATTCATTTTTACGTGTGGCATTAGTATTGTGACAAAGTGCGAGGAAAACTTGTTCCAAATTATTCAATTGAAATTGCTGAATCAATTGTTGGGGATTTCCTTCTTCCAGCAATGCACCATGCCTCATGAATGCAACAGTCGATGCATATTGGGCTTCATCAATATAATGAGTAGTGATTATGACGGTTATTCCTTCCTGCGAGGACAGCGATCGAAGATGACACCAAATTGATTGACGAAGAACAGGATCGATGCCGACGGTTGGTTCATCCAATACTAACAGCGGTGGTTTATGCACTAATGCTGCAGCTAATGATACGCGACGTTTTTGGCCGCCACTCAATTTGGCCACAAAACGATCCTGTTCCGGCAATTCGAGAAAAGCGATCAAAAACGCTATCCGGTCGCGAATCGTTTCGATCGGCAATCGATAAAGTCGACCGAAAAAGAATAATGTTTCTTTGATGGTGAATTCTTCGAACAAGCCAATTTCCTGTGGCATGTAACCGATGCCTGGCCCGGGCACCAGTGATCGGGCTGATCCGGGTATTTCACCGAACACTTTCACATAACCGGATTTCGGTTTCAATAGGCCAACCAGCGAATGAACTAATGTGGTTTTGCCACAACCGCTTGGTCCTAAAATAGCGTAGCTAGAACGTAAAGAGGTAATGAGATGTGGTGTTTGGTTTTAGTTTAACTTACATGGTGCCGACAGGAACTTTGATCGTGATATCGTTCAAGGCATTTTTCGCTTTTTTGCCACCACCATAGGTAAATATCACATTGGTTGCTGTTGCAGCATACATGGGTCTTGGATTGTGTTTTTGTTCTTGATTGGAATGAATCCATTGGGTCATGAATTTGTTGGCAAATAATTTCGGTCGGATGGAGCCGAGAATATTTGATCGATTAGTGGTGGTCGATGAGGTTGTTTGATCGGCATTCAAGTGCACTTGAGGAGTGGTGTTTGTGGAGAAAGTAGTATCATTGTAAACAGGTTGATCGTCGTCGAGATGGTGGACACTTTGTAGATTAGATTCTAATCGCTCCATTTGATTGTCGAATTGATTTGTCGTCATGATTGCGAATGATCGGTGATGAGTGTTTGGCATTCACTTTTCAAACTGAAATTTTCTCACCGTAACGAGCCTGAGAAGAATAGAATTTATCTAATTAAACGATTTCTGCCACTGTCATCATGATTGTCGAAAAAATCAACAATGCTCAGAGAAAAGTGATGACATTTTGTCAAAAGCAATTAATTAATGGTGAATTAAGTTGGCCGTGATTAATTAAGATGATATCTACCCAGATAAATTCAACTAGAATGTTTTCGATTCGGTTTGTTTTGATCGGATTGAGAGGGAGAGAGCTCGCCAAACACAAACACAACAAACACAATAATAACAACGCAATGTCTCAAATTACTTAGTTTTTCCGATCGAGAGAAATGTTTGTTGTTGAAAATGACCTGGTCCGACTGATAGCCAGCCAGCCAGAGAGAGTGGGAACGGGAGAGAGATAATGGTTGTTGTTATGTAATTTCTCTATACAGCAGTGTAGTTGCCAATCTTGCTTGCATTTCCTCATCTTGTTTTTCTCTTCGCCACCACTTCCAAATATGTATATAGCGCCCGTAGATGTATCTTTCTCTCTTTCTGTTTTTCAAGTTTGCTCATGACAAAAACGAGTTAGGTTCTGTTTTTTTGGTTAGATTTATATTCTAGATTTTAATGTTTAGTGTGTGGTAAAAGTGTTAACAATTGATCGATGGTGATATACATTTAGGACACAATGCCAGCATCTTTGGCCAACGAATAGAATATTGATTGATTATCGGCCAGTAATGACTTGGGTGAATTGAATTCGGCAACTTTTCCGTTATCGAGAACCAAAACCCGATCTGAATCCAAAATAGTGTGCAGACGATGTGCAATGGTGAGCACGGTGCAATGATTGAATTCCTGGCGAATTGTGGCCTGTATCAGCGAATCGGTTTCCAAATCCACGGCAGCTGTTGCTTCATCCAAAACCAAAACATTGGTGCGACGCAATAATGCACGTGCCAAACAGACTAGTTGCCGTTGACCGATTGAAAGATTGTCACCGCCTTCGTTCACCTGATGATTCAAACCTTCGGGCAATGATTGCACGAAAGATTTGAGATGGGATAATTGTAGGACTTTCCATAGTTGTTCATCACTGTATTCATCGAACGGGTCCAGATTGAATCGTAAACTGCCGCAGAATAGAACTGGATCTTGTGGAATGATGGTGATACGGGATCGTAGTTTCTAATTTGAAATATGATTAATAATCCGACCAACAGATAAACAAGGGCAAATGAACTTACATGCAAACCTAGTTTAGAAATGCAAACATTATCGATAGTGATGGATCCTTGAACCGATTCGATAATGCGAAACAAGGCCAATGTTAGAGAGGACTTTCCTGCACCAGTGCGACCAACTATGCCTACTTTTTCGCCTTTCTCCACTTGGATATCGATGCCTTTCAGGACAAGATCTAAATTGGGACGATATTTGGTGGCATAATTGTTGAAATGAATGGCGCCATCTTTTGGCCAATCTTGCGGCAATGAATCGTCGATCGAATCGAGTTTCCATTCAGCTTCAGGATTGACATCGGTATATTCGGAGATACGTTCGACGGCAACCACATTGTTTTCGATTTCGGCAAACATCCGAACACACCAATTCAGCGAAAGTGTTACATTCAAAGCATAGGACAGCGAAAGACCAATACTGCTGCCAGTCAAACCTTCTTTGGTGATGGTGGCCAAAAAGGATGCGAAAAAAACGAGGCAGTTTGCCAGGAATTCTAGTCGTATCTGAAGCCAACAATTGGCCACCTGACTTGGATAGAAACATCGAAGATTATAATCAACACGACGATTCGATTCGTGAATGAAACGATCGGTGGCATCATATGCTTTGATGGTGTTGACACCTTGAATAGTTTCGGAGAAGTGGGTGAAAATTGGAGAGCGAGATACGGATTCAATACGCTTCAGTTGCCGACTGGTGGCCACATAGAAACGTTGAATGAAAAAATATAGAACCATAAAGGGAAGCACAAACGCCAAGAATATGGGAGTCTTGATCGATATGATGACCAATGTGACCATCACCTGTAAGGTATTGTTAAGGACAAGTCTCATAATGAATTGAATGTAATTGTCAAGGACATCGATATCTTTGCTGAATCGATTCATGATCCTCCCTAATGGTGTTGTATCGAAAAAGTGCATAGGGGCATGAATAATACTGTCCAATAATCGTTGATGTAGTGTGCGCGAAGCATTCAATGTTCCATAGATGATGGACATCCAACCGAAAATGACGAAAAATACCTGACAAAATCCAATGACAAAATAGATGATCAAATTGGTCAAGTTGCGAGATTCTTCCGGATCATGGTCGACACGTTCGGTCCAGACAGAAAGCCAGAAATTGGAACCTGCACTTGAAGCACTGCTGCCAACATAATTGATTATGATAGCTGCCGACCATAGTGGTGATAATGCTAGGAGGAATTTTTTGAATACCGATAGAGATATGTGACCAGTTTCTATGTTTTCCGCTTCCACCAATTTGGTTTGATCATTTGGTTTGGCGGTTTTGCTGATTGCTGTTGAATGGGAATGACGTGATTTGATTGATGTTTGGGTGTTTTTCCTCGATGATTTTTGACATTCAACATACTCACTGACCGATCGAACTAAGTTAGGAATTGCTACTGCTGCTGCTGGTATTGATTGATCATTGATGATCGATATCGATTGATCCTTGTCCTCGTCGTCATTTGCTTGGGCAGCATAGTTTTGTATTAGTTCCTGGAAACTAGGGTTGCTCTTCAACAGCGATTGATATGGCCCAATATCTTCGATTCGCCCGTTTTTCACCATCACTACCTGGTCGACCAACGGCAGAACATAGAGTGCATTGGTGACCAAAATCCTAGTATGATCACGGAGAATACCAGATTGGGAGCTAAGAACTCGATCGAAAATATGCTTGCCAACATGGCTATCAACAGCTGATAAGGGATCATCAAACAAAAACAGATTGGAATTGGAATAACAAGCACGTGCAATACTGACACGTTGTTTTTGGCCACCAGAAAGATTGATGCCTTTTTCACCGATTTCAGTTTGATCACCACCATTTAGCATTTCGAAGTCGGGACGCAATGCACAGGCATCAATGATACGGTCATATTTTCGTCGATCATACGGCAGACCGAACAGAATATTATCACGAAGGGTTAGATTCTGAATCCATGCCTGCTGCGAAACATAGGCCATTTGTTGTTCACGATCAATGTTGATGGTGCCGGAATGTTTATGCATTTCACCCAGCAGCGCTTGTAGCAGGGAACTTTTACCCGAACCAACCGGTCCCACAATGGCGACTAATTTCTTTTTCGGTATAGTCATGGTTATATCGGACAAAGTGAGCATCGGTTTGGATTGTTGATTATCATCATTGTTTTCCATGTTGGGGTCAATTGGCTGATGGGCAGCCCATGAGAACGATGCATTCTTCACCGAAACGGCATCCTCGTGCATAGGATTGCGTTCAACGTAATCCCGTGTTTCATCTTGATTCAAAAATGCGTTGATGCGTTTCATGGAGACGATCGTGAGAATGAGGCCGGAAAGCATATTTGGAATAACGATAAGGGGTATGCGTAGAATATTGAATAGCGATATCGATACGAATGCTTTCGCTGCAGTTAGTTCGCCGCCCAAGGCAATGTAGGTGGTGAATGTGAGCATTGCCACAAAGAATGGCGAACAACTTCCAAAGCAAATGAATATTGTTTGCACCAAGCCGGACATTTTGATAGATTGCAATTCGCGCAGACGAATGTTGCGAATTTTCGCGAAAAACGCCGGTTCCCATGCATACAATTTGAGCACTTTGATTCCGTTCAGCATTTCGCTTACCGCTTTGAGACGTTGATCCTTCATTTGCATTTGTTTGCGTTGAATTTTTTTCACCTTGCTTGCCACAAAGGAATTTAGCGGAATTGTGAGCACCATGAGAATGACACCGCCAATGACAGCAGGGCCAAGTTCGCTATACAGTAGATATAGTCCGATGGCAATTTGAATGGGTGCCGTCCAAAGAAAACACAGATATGGGAGCAGTTCGGTGAAACGTTGCGAATCGACAGCCATCAGATTGACAATTTCACCGGTGGCATAGTTTTTTTTGGCATGATTGGCCAATACCAAGGTTTTGCGATAAATCACCGATACCATTATGGCACGCATACGCATCGACATTACAGCCATGCGATGGGCTTGATAACCAGAACTAAAACTTTGAACAATGTTGGTGACCATAAATACAAACGAAAAGAATATTCCCTGCCAAAGTGGCGCTATCGGATCGGTCGTGAAATTGATCATGTATCTATGGGTGCAATACAGTGTGGTTAGCATAAAGTGTGTGTGATTGAATATAACGCTTACTTGAGAACCATCGAATTGGACAGTTGCAGAAGATCGGTAAAGACGCGAGCCAAGGATGGAAAAAGGAAATATGACCAGTACATTTTGGTAAACATGCTCCATAGATTGATTTTTTTCTTTCGAAGCAAATAGTCATCCTGGTGTTGTTTATCTTGTGGCATGAATTTGGGATGTTTCCATATCCGATTGAACTGTTGGAATAGATATTCGCAATTATTCCAGATAGGAAGGCGCCATAAATCACGGCTGGTCAAAGGACGACGCCAGCCTTTGATGGCCAAACTATTGAACCACCAGAATGTCAACTTTGACGGAACTGATGACAGTTCTTTTGGACAAAGTTTAATTGGATTTTTTTCATTGTCCAAGTGATTCGGATCGGTTGAACTGAATTGGTCGAGCGAGCCGGATAAAATGATGTTTTCGATATGATCAGTACGATCGGAAAATGATGACATGATAAATAATAAGATTTGTAATGCATATTCAATGTAAGAATAGGTTAGCATTATATCGATTCGCTTGTCGGTTATGATGGCAAAAGTATTGAACAAAACTAGCAATAACAGATAAAACCAATTCAGACCATTATTTATGAAACCATGTTGACGTTGTAGATGAAGAAATGTGATGAATATAGCATAGCTTAGTGACGACAACCATATGGATAATAAATGGGCATTGCTTATTGTGCCGCTGGTGGTTGTGCTACGAATCGAAACATGAATGGCATGTATCAATCCTACGATCAACAATGTGAATGCCAGTAAAAATTTGAAACAATTGTAGCAGTTCCACGGCAATTTCGAACGAAATCTCGATCGAATCAGGTATTCATACAACATATAAGGTGTGAGAATCCATAACAGAATGATTGGGGGCCAACTTAATCCAGTATCGATGAAACATGATGTTAAAGTGGGAGTTTCCGTATACCAAGATTTGTCGTGATCCTAGTCATTTGGTTTAGTCATGAATGACAAAAGAGAAGAGCAGTGCATTGAACAACTTACCCAGAATGGAGAATGATCATTACATAGTTTGGTGAATAAAAATATTTGACTCGAATTTTGCGAATCTAGTGCCATTTGTCAATGATGATGGGTTGGATTGGCGATTGAGAATGTGAATGGAACGATGCTTTATAAATGATGATTTGCTTGCTACAATGTTCATTATGATCATATTATGATGTTTATGGTGTGGAAGAGAGAGGGTTGTAAAATTTAAAATTTATTAACTTTATCATAAGATTGCCAGAATGGAAATGGAGAAAAATAGTATTTATGACTTAATGTCATGCAATAATAATAATAAAATGATTTGATAATGATTATATCTTTTTCCATTTGCACTTTTCCGTACTGACTGAATTGTATTCACTGCAAAAACCCAAATCCAAATTATCATTATCATTATGTAGGCTATTTTGGTAGCGGGTGCGATTGGTGCATTTTTTATTTGTCCTCGACATAACGACGCCATTTACTTACCATCATCGGTTTGGTTGAGAGATGTATTATCCATATTCATTGGATTTCCTTCCATGCTTACTTTGAATGAAAAATTGCCTGTATCACATCATTATTGTTTTGATTTGTATTAGGTGGTGGTTGGCAAAGCATTTAGTTATTAGACCAGTGATTCTCAACCCGTGTGCCGCGGCACTTTGGTGTGCCGCGAAATTCTGAAAATGCAACTGTTATATATTTAAAAATTCTAAAATTGTGCCGCGACAACAAAAAGGTTGAGAATCACTGTATTAGACCATTTTAATAATGGTCTACCGAATTTCGCTAGGTACGCTGATTAAGTATTATTGAAAAACAAATATTTATTAAATTTTAATATTGATTATAATANAATAATAATAATAATTTTATTGTGGGAAAGTGCGTCATCCAACAGGATGTTTGCACCATTTAAAGAATGAAATCAAATGAAGATTGAAAATACAAATAGAATAAAAGTAGAATAATGTAAAGAAAGTGTAATTAAAAATATTTACAGGTGAAGAAGAATGTGTTTACATATGTTATTGAATTTAATTGCGTTTTTTTGTGATGATATGTACAAGTGTGGTGAATGAAAAGGTGTTGTAAAATTATCACATGCAGTTAGTAGGTGGATTGGGCTTTGAATGTCGATATGGTTGCATGTACATGAAGGTGTGTCAGTTTTTCCGATGTTATGCAGATATTCTTTAAAGTTGCCGTGCCCGGTGACGAATTGCGTTGAATAGAAATTGGGCGAGAAATATTTTGGCACACCGGTGGGGAAGAACTGACGAAAGTTGTTGTTGGCGTTGTTTAGATATTTGTTGCGAAGTTTGTCCATTTCGGTATTGATTGCGCTTTTAATAAAGTCGTTGTCCATTCCTTGGATGGATAATACTTTTTTGCTTTTCATAAGTTCGATGTAGTCGGTGATTAATGGGATGTCCGCCAAGAGATGTATACATTCGAAGGAGGTTGTTCGGTAAGCAGATACCACGAATTTTAAAATATTATACTGGATGGAGTTGATTTTACGTGACTCCTTTTTGTTGATATAGGGGTACCATGCCTCGGATGCATATGTGATGATTGGCCGTATTACGGTTTTGTACAATATTTTTCTTTTCTTTGTGTTTATACCCCAAATTTTACCACTGAGTCCAAAGAGGATGTTTTTGATTCTTAGAACTTTGGCTTCTAATTTCGCGATATGGGGCTGAAAATTTAATTTATCTTTAAATCTATGGTTTTTGAATGTTACTCCCAGTATTTTGATTTCCTTCGATGGATTTATTTTGGAGTTGTTTAAAACGATGGTCGGTGGTGGACAATTAGTTAGATATAGTATTTCTGTTTTTTCTGTCGAGATGGATAATTTGACCTTGAGGCACCAGTCGTTGATGAAAGTGATAGCATCTTTGATCGTTGTTTTTAGATCGTCGAGTGTGCGGTTGTGACATATGACGGTGGCGTCGTCTGCATACGCAAAGATTTTACAGTTTTTGATTTTGAAATTGACGAGAAGGTCGTTGATAATTAAGTTCCAAAGTATAGGAGACATCGCGCCGCCTTGTGGGCATCCTCTATTTAGCGATTTTGCGACTGTGATGTTGTTATACGAAAAACGGACGTTTCTGTTGCTTAAGTAGGAATTAATGATTTTTATGATCGTCTCCGGAAAGTTGTAAGAATCGATTTGGTATTTGATAAAAGACCACCACGCGTGATCAAAAGCACCAGAAATATCGACGGCGATGATGGCTGCAGGACCTTTCTTTTTAGCTTCGATGGCTTCATTAAATATATTTTTGAGAGCATCCGTCGTCGATTTTTTAGGCATGAAGCCGAATTGGTGGTTGGAGAGAATGTTTGCGGTTTGTGCATGGTGCATAATTTCTTCCTTTATTATTCGTTCGAAGACTTTGCTCATGTTTGATGTTAGGCTGATTGGTCGATAACTCTTGTGATGTGAATAGTCTTGTTTGTTTGGTTTCGGGATGATTCTCACTACCGCGGTTTTCCAAGTATCTGGGAAATAACCTAGTTTTAGGCATTTATTAAAAATTACCGTGATGGTTTCAGTCAATATGGTAGGGAGAAAACGGAGCATGTTGTTCGATATGTTGTCTGGACCAGGGGCTTTTTTACGGCCGAGGAATTTGATGATGTTGGACACTCTCTCGAAGTTGGTTTGAAACTCTGCGTTGTTCAGATATCGTGGTAGATGATTTCGGATGACGTAGTGCTCGGATGTGTCGGTATATGAATCGTCGTTTGGAAACATTTTGTCTAGTAGATCAGATGCTTTTAGTTGTTGTTCGAGGGGATTTGTGTCATCTATTATGGAGAGGTTGTTGTTATTCTTTTTCAATTTGGATTTAAGAACTTTGTAGAGATTGCCATAAGGATTGTCGTTGTCGAGTTCTTCGATGAACATTTTCCAGCTGTAATTTTTTGCTTTTCGGATTTCGTTTGCGTATTTGTTTTTAATTTGTTTATACATGTTTAGATCAACTGTTGTGTCATTACGAATGTACCGATTGCGGATCGTGTGAAATCGATGTTTTAGTTTTTCGAGGTCGTTGTTCCACCAGGAATTTTTAGCATTGTATTTGTTGTTGCTTTTCTTCGGGATTGATTTTTGTGCAGCTGATATCACCGTTTTGTTGAACTTTGCGATGACATTGTCAATATCATTTTTACATGTGGCGTTTGTAGCTAGTTCTTTTAGGCATTCACATTCGGAGATGCAGAAACTTTGATGGTATTTTTTCCAGTCTGCTGCTTTTTCGTTGAACTTCCATGTGGAATTTGATATTTTATGGCAGAAGGCGTTGGACGAGATATCGAAACAGACGGTAAAGTGGTCGGAGAAACTGGTGAGATTCATTGTTTTCCAGTTGCGTACAATATGATATGCTTGGTTGTTGGAAAAGATGCTTACTTACAATGAAAAATTGTTTTGATTTGTATTGTTTTGATAGGTGGTGGTTGGGAAAGTGTTTAGTTATCACACCATTTTAATAATGGTCTCTCAAATTTCGCTAGGCACGCTGATTAAGTATTATTCGGATAGATTTTATATTGGAAAACAAATTTTATTCAATTTTAATATTGATTAAACGAGATTATTAATATTATGATTATAGAAACAAAGAATCAGTCAAAATATCCATCAATACAATCAAGGGTTGTGGTTTGTGAGGTTGTTGTTGATTGGATTAATCATCATTATCATTTAGATAGAATCCTTGAATGAAGAGGACCACATCCCTCATTTCGTTCATAATCGATTTGATAATGTCAAAGATTTCATTAAGTTCTTTCAACTTTTCGTTTGGCAATTGAGGACGATGATTTGTTTGTTCACTACCACCATCGCGATTATGAGTGAATCGTTGACAATTCTCCAAATACGATTGCTGTACATAAATTGTTTTTAATTGTTGATTTGAATTGTTCAAATGTTTTCTAACAATTTCCAAAGCCATTTGAATTACTATCAATAAAAGTTTACGGATCGTATCATAATCATTATCATTCGAATCCGGATCATCATTTTCACGTTGATTTGTTGATGAAGAAGAATCGAGCGATGATAATGTTGGAGGTGGTACTAGATCAAATATTTTAAAAAAGAAATCCAGATTTTCTTTACAAAGTTCGCCATGATTGATGGTCTCAGTATTTTCTGACGTCGATGACGACTTGGATGATTTTGATTTTTTTGATTTTGATTTCGGCATCATAAATCAAGACAACGATTGCCACAATCTGGTGATAATGACCAAATCAACCAAATCGAAAATAATGATACGATGATGAAACGATGATGAAATTCTAAAGAAAAACGACAGTGAAAAGACGTATGCACAGATCAACAGTCAGAAGAAGAATAAAGGGAAGATGCGAGTTAAATGGAAAACGGTAAAAGTACAAAACAAAAAGCATTCATTTGAGTTGGGGCCTAGTTTCTTTTCAAAGTGGTGTTATGCGCAACGATACGTGCGCGATGAACGAACGTTGGATGAGCAACAAGCGAACAGAGAATCTGTGCTGATGAAAGTAATCATCGATTGGTAATCATTGAAAGTTTTGTTTGTGTTTAGAATACATTCATTACAGATAATGCTGATCAAATAGTGGGCATTACATAATCAACAAGGAATTGGCTATAATTCAATCAACAAACTATTTAATTTGATCATAAATTGGTGTTTCCAATAAATTACAATCTTTACAATCTATTCACTTTTGCCAGTTTTCTTAAATTCAAATATTAACAGTTTGTTGTGACATACTTTGTTCAATATTGTTAATAATGAAAAAATCATTAACTGATATTGAGGTGGATATCAATTTGTTTCAAAGTGATTTAAAAGATATCAATCGAGAATTCATCCGGAAAATCGTTTCGATATTCAAATTATCTTGGAGCGCAAGTGGTTATCTATTTACGACCAACACTGCTACTTATGTTTATGGTGAAGCAATATGCAAATGGCTATCGTTGACACATGATCCCAAACTACCACAAAACACTTACATTTTGAATGACAATAAAGTTATTCAATTCGATTCAGGTAAAGATTTTGTTGTCGTTCTAACTAATGATGGAGGAGTCTATCTAGCCAGAAGTGAATATTCATGTTGGAAAACGTTTTATTTTACGTTTAATTGTTGGCAATCTATCTCGACTAAATCTAATGATTGTTTTGAAATGATAGCATGTGGACGTAATCATTTGTTGTTGTTACGACAAGATGGTACTGTTTTCGCTCTGGGAAGTAATAACTATGGCCAATCGACTGGTAATTCACAATCATCGTTTAAAACTCTCGTCAATACTGGTTTGAAAAATGTCAAAATAATAGCGTGTGGGGAATACCATAGTCTTGCTGTCACCAATACTAATGAAATTTATTCCTGGGGCTATAATGGCTATGGACAGTTAGGTCTTGGCGATACAAATAACCGAACAACACCTTCACTGGTTTCATTTCCTAATGGTTCGACTGATAGTCCGATCAAAAATATTGTGGCCGGCAACCAGCATTCATTATTTTTATTGGAGGATGGTCAGATTTTCGGATGTGGTTACGGTCAACGTCTTATCAATGATAACATGCAAGATGCAATGGTGCCAATAAAAATATCAATTGAAAATGTGCAAAGTGTGGCTTGTAAGAATCATCTCAATGTTTCAATGGCTTTGGATCAGTCATCACAGTATTATGCATGGGGTATTATGAATGATGGACTATTTTCATCACCCAAAAAATTGGATGGTCCACCGGAATCATTTGCCGCAGCATCAGCAATGATAAACAAATCTCCAATCACTTATGGCCTAACATCAACTGTCAATGTGTTGCAATCAAATAATCCCATTTCATTTATTGCATTATTGAATAATCCGGATAATTATGATGTCGAGTTTGTTATCGATGATAAACGTATATTGGCTTCAAAGTGTTACCTGAAAATAGCATCACAATATTATGGTCGAATGTTTTCAGGAAAATGGCTGGAAAACACTGAAGTGGTCATCAAAGATTATAGTTATGATGTCTATTACGCATATCTAGTCATGTTACATAATGGTCGCATCCGAATCGATCAATTCAACATATTCCAACTTATTGATTTGGCCAATTGTTATAATGATCAACAATTAATGAAACAATGTCATACATTCATACAAAACAATCTGAATGAACGGACATTATTTACTTATTTTCCCTTGATTAACAAATACCAACTTGATGACGTGCATGACATACTTGTAGAACTAACAATCGAGAATGTATGGCCTAAAATAGCTGACAATCTGAAAACAGACAAAACTAAAATTGTCAAATTTCTTGAATTGGTTTTATTCGAACAACAATCTTTAACTACCGAACAATAGTGTATTGAATTTGATTAATAAATTGTGGAACAAAATGAAAAATTCTTTGCTTTGATCATCCTGTCGTTTATGAACAACGTCAAAAAGCTCAAGCAACTTGCTTGC